GTCTAATATCATCAAATCAATGTGCACCGTGATGGTGGCAACATTGCAAACCCAACTGATAGAATTCAGTCTACACCAAGCAGAGGACTAGACAAATCACACTAGTTACCGACTCGTGTCCAATCAAAGCATCCACTACAGTCCTAAAGGAGTTCAGTCTTTAGCCCGAATAGCTCAGTGGTAATGTCTTTGACTGCAGTTCTCACTGAGTGACGCGGGTTCGAATCTCAGAAGGGACACGAGTTCTCTCAAGGTTGCAGATACGCCTTGCTGACTGGTGGGTGCCAACTAGCAGGAAACCTAAATCAAGCAAGGCTTCCTGTGGCCCCGGTTGTCTCCAACCATCTAATATCATCCGATTACAAGTTCAGTGTATAAAAATGTTTGTGATTCAGCGACAGAATCCTCAGCAACCGCACACATGTTCCGGGATTCGATTTTCCAACCAACCCATTCGTAGACCTTGCGTTGTTTCGCTATCTGTTAGTAAGTCTGGAAAGGAGGAGAGATCTGCCGTGAAGCTAATGGCGTCTTCCTGTGAAAAACAACACCGTTTCGACTGAAACTTCCAAGCCCTATGTTCCAGTCGGAACGCAATGGAATAAAAAAGTATAAAAACTGTGTCCTTGATGGTTAAAAAAGTATCGATAAGAATTCAGTGACGTAATTTCTGAACAAGGTTAAGGTCAAATGTTTGTCAGGCTGGAATCCAATTCACAGTTTACAAATTAAACTCACTACCTGCAATTTACACAGCTCAACGAGGTGCAGTTCCATCACAGTCTCCTTTCCAAATCGAAATTAATTCAGATCGCCACAATATGTGATATGTTTGATACCATCTATGGTATCAGTACTAATTGCTGGCCAGATTGAAGTGATCTAACCACTGGGCAGCCATTTGGCTCGTTTCGGATTGAGACCATCGCTGGTATAGACTTTACGACCCAACTGAGTTATACTGTGGTGAGAGCTGTCTGCAAGGCAAAATTGGTAGACAGCAACTTACGTCAATGTTCATGTCCCAAATCGGGGTCATGAGAAAAAAACAAGAATAAAGCTTAACCTTGAGGGACTCAACAACCAATCACGGAACACTTAACGTGTGAAAATACGATTCGCAGATATATGGCTTAGCTTTCTGAGAAACGGCCACAAGCAGTGCAAAACAACCTTCAGCAAGAAAACAAGCAATCAAAAGACGCTGCTCCTCTGCTAACAATAACGCTGATAATAATGTACATAAAAATCTATAAATATCTGTTGATTTTCTCAATAAACGATCTTTTGATTGGCCGTTGTCTTCTGTCGTTACATAGTTTCTGATGTAGCTTTCATTTGCTTCTTTTGGCTACTTGTATTCTAATATTCATGGATTTATAATTGAAGAGCCTGAGGTAGAAGATTTTGAAAATAGTTGTTCGCTCAGAAAATTTTCTTGATAGAATAGTAACATGGAAAAACATGAGTGCTTAGTGAATCTAGGATAGAACGAAAAGTGATTACATCTGCGCCATTTGGAACGGTTTCGAACGGTATCACCAACAGTCTCAAGTCATTAGATCTTAGTGTCCTGAGGATGCCAGTCAAACAGGGAGTCAACATCCCCCCCCTATGTGACTGGCACAAATCAACTTTGTGGAGATTTCCTGGATTGATGATAGTTTTTTTGGTTTTACCATCTCTAACTCTTTTCCAAAGTAATTCTATTTCGGCTAACATTGTTCTATGAAGAAGGTGGTAACCTGCTATGGTTAACACACGTCCTAGTTATCCAACTCGACACAGCTTCACAACCTCACAATCTTACCTATCACTCTACGCCTAGAGGGGATATCAGGAGCTTCGATTTTGCAGACAAGTCTAGACAATGATTGTCAATAGGCATTAGACTCGGGTTCTCAGCTGAAAACTATTCACTTTTCAATAGTTCAGTTCGAAAGTCAAACGGAAGGACTAACACCCTCATCAATTGAAGGTGTTGAAAGACTTAAATCAACACTAGCTGTAAGATCAATTCAATTCCCATCCTTAAATCAAGTCAACCTGTCACGGATCAGACTAGCGTTGTTGCAACCCAATTATCCATGCCTAACGTGTCTATCCCACCTTGTTTAATGAACTGTGTGTGTGTTTTTACATCGAACCGTTTAGTCAGACCGTTGAACTCATGACCCAATCAGAGTATTTTGTGAACTGTTATTTTTGCTGACCCATGTCTTACTTTGTACTATTCTGTCGAGTTTATCTTATTTATTGATCTTCATCTGTATCAGCCTACCTGGTTAAGTAGCCAATTAAATTCTATATTTGTGCCTATGCTCTGTCTATCTCTTAATCGCTCTCTGTTCTATGCCTTGCCTTACTTGGGTTCATTCTTCTACTGACTGCTTACCTGAACGGTCGTGTCTGATTCCGGCTAGTTCGCAATTTTGGCTTTCACGTTAATCCGCTCTGATAGCGGTGCCTTGCTTTCTGTTAAGCGTTGTGCTTTGTACTCTTGAAACCGTTAAGGTTTGTTGTATATATATAATTATTGATTTGTTTATTAATAGTACCGTAGAAACAGTGACCGGCTTCTTGTTTGTTCTGGACCGGGATAACTTTTATCTACGCGTGACTTAATTTCAAGTGATATTGCGCTTACACTAGCCGATTGTTGCTATTATTACATGAATAGTAAACGCGATTTGGACAGTATTTTGACCGAAAAGCATAGAGAAGCTCTGGATGTTCTCCGTAAAAATGATAAAATAATAATAACAAAACCGGATAAGGGCTCAGGAGTGGTTATCATGAACAAAACGGATTACTTTGAGAAGATGAATACGATTCTTAATGATAATCTAAAATCCCAAAAAACTCCTCTTCTCTGGATCCGATTGAAAAGATAGAGAAACAGTTGATGGAAACATTGAGAAAACTGAAACAACAAGGCTTCATCTCACAGAGTCAGTATACATCACTTAAATCCACTGGAACGTTCACACCAAGTACACAAAAATGGTGTACTGCTTCGACCAGTATTAGATATGTTAAATTCACCGTAGCATCCCGTAGCCAAATGGTTAGTTGAACTCTTACAGCCCCTTCATACCAAGTTGGTGGAACACAGTGTAAAGGATGCTTTTGAATTTGTTGAAAGGTTAAAAGATTAAAATTTTGACAATAAATTCATGATATCATTTGACGTATCTTCCTTATTCACCAATGTACCACTTATGGAAACAGTGGACTTTGTATGCGGAGAACTTATAAGACGAAACATCAATGTTGGCATTCCTATATCTTTTATGATGAAAGAGCTTCTCTTGAAATGCATAATGAATGTCCACTTTTTATTTAATAAGGAACTATACAGACAAATCGACAGTGTGGCGATGGGGTCACCACTAGGACCCATTCTAGCCGACATTTTCTTTGCCAAACTAGAAAATGGGCATATGAAAAATGTTATTGATGAACTTGAATTCTATTGTCGGTACATGGACGATACGTTTTTTATTATGAAAAATGAGAAGGAAGAAAAGAACATCCTTGATAAATTTAACGAGGTTCATCCTGCAATAAATTTTACTATTGAGAAAGAAAAAGACTTTAGTATTTCATTTGTAGACGTCCTTATGACTAGAAAAAAGGATGGCACAATAAGAAGAAGTGTATATATAGAAAACCTACATCAACGGGTCAGTACACTCATTTTTTCAGCTTCGTGCCCTTGAAACACAAACGCAATTTGATAAAGTGTTTGGTTAGTATAGTAAGAGCAGTCTGCTCGGATGAATGTCTTGATGAGGAACTTAATAATATTAAATGGTTGCCGAGTGAAAATGGTTATCCTGAAAAGTTTATTGATAAGAATATGAATCTAAAATCAAAGCAGCCCAAGGTACCAACAGTTCCTAAAAGGGCCTTATTCTTACAAATGCAGTTCCTCGGGGACAACATCAACGAGATAATAACATAGCGCCTTACAAATGCTGTAAAAAGAGCATTCTCTACTGCTGCTGAATTACTCTGTGTCTTCAAAACCAATCTTCTTTTGCGTTTGGGAGTTAAAGAGAAACTGCCTAATTTCGCCTCTTCGATGCATATCTACCAATTTAACTGCTCCTGTGGAGTGAGATGGTTATATAGGCCGTACAATTAGACGTGTTTCACGTCGGATTCCCAAACATCACTCTGCATACTGGTTAAGTAAAGGACAAACAAAATCTATTCACATAGCGCTATTCTATCTCATCTTGGGGATACAGAACACAAGATTGATGTCAACGAGGCAGTTTTCAAAGTCATTTTCTGCATACCAACAAATCTCAATTTCGCCTTAAGAGTTCGATTACTAAATACTGCTGAGGCTGGCTGTTGGGATTCATATTAAGAAGCCTAATTTGTGCGTACAAAAGAAGCTAGTTCAGACATTATCCTTACCCCGCTGGCCATCTAGGTTTGAATGATCCTGAATTTTTGTGGAATTTTCATAATTTTAGTTAATATTCTATTTGCTATTATATCTTTATTATTATTATTATAATTTAAGCATCTTTAATGAACTTTAATTCCATCGTGATCTTACTTAGCAAATCGATATTATTTGAAAAACACTAATAGTGTTACTGACTACTATTTTGGAATATTCTATGTATATAAACATGCATATATATAATTATAGAGCCAGAAGAGGAGGAAATTATCGGAAAGGATATTCTTTGCTCAATTATTTTGTGTTTTATAGATCTCTGAATGAATAATTTTCCAGTTAGTATATCAGCCATGAAGGTGACTAACCTTGAAAAGACTCCCACAGTGAATGAATAATCTTTAATTACAACATGACACCATTCAAAGCATGCGTTTACATATATTTATGTATTTATCAGAGGCTTTTATCTTGATTTCCATGAATTTTGTATACAGAATATACAATTCTTGTTATATTCCCCATTCCCCCAAAATACATTTGTGTTCAAAGGATTGTGAAACACACAAAAGGTTTTTTTCTGTTTTAATCAATCTTTTCTTTCTAAAGTTCCTTTTTTCATTATTCTATTCTTACGAATTTTTTTATTATAATTCATTGGTAATAAAATTGGATTATGATGAAATGTCTCCTGGTTAAATTTTGTTAAATTTGTTTGATGTTTCAATGTTAAATGTTGTACAGGTAATTGTTTATCTAATTGATAATTTGTTTGATTTTGATTTGATTGATTTAAAATTTTAATCATTGTACTCATTGACGATGTTGGTGACCAACGTTTTCTAAATATTTTCGGTAATTTTAAACACACTTCATTCAATGATTTTATTTGTTTATTATTTCCATTTGTATTATTAATATTATTATTGCTTTTATAAATGATATTATTACATTTCCTTTCGTCTATATTCATTTTGAATTCAGTGTGTTCAATTGCAGGTAGTTTAATTGTCATTTTGTTTTGTTTAAATCAAGCGATAAGTGTTATGGCGCTAAATTTAAATTGACTGATATATATATATATTTTTTATCATTTTGACGTTATAAAATGAATTGTTGCGAATATTATTAGATCATTGTGTTGTATGCCTCAATAAATGAATGCATACATACATTAACTCGAATAATATCGATTTTTTTCGTGTATATTTATATATATGTCTCTATTTTAAATTTTATTGAACTGTTTGCAATGCTTAATGATATTAGATAGTTGGAGGCAATGCTGCTTATTAACTAAGCTATAAATGTATGATTCATAATTTACAGGGTACATGTGAGTTGGTTTATTTTTGGCACATGTTTTAATGATATTTAGTGAAATTCTTTTTTTTTTTTGAGTGTTAGTATTCACTTCATCAGTATATCATATTACATTATTTGAAAGTATTAACACACTTACACACCCACACCTGGAAATACAATGAATAGCTTGAAAATATTTTTTAAAAAAACACAAAAATATGCTGATTTATGAGACAGTCTTTTAAAATTGCAGTAATTGATGAGGAGATTAAATGATTATATTATTGGTGATTTGCCTTTTGCATAGAATATAGGGCTTGAGTAACACATCTCCAACGTATTCTTGATATAAGTATAATACTTGAGCACTGTGGTGGTTGAGTACAGCAGGTTGAAGATGAGGCAGTAACTCATCGAAGAAGGTATTGCGAAATGGTCACACTATGTCGTGAATTGGTAGAAGTTAGAATTCATGGGCTGGCCATTGGATCGGGTCCCAGTGACTGCCTAATGGTCTACGAGCTCGCTGGCCTTGTAACCTGAAAGTCCTGGGTTCGAACCCCACTGTGGTGGGTGCTTGCTGATGAAGAGTCCCAAGGACTAGGATGAAACAGCTGTCCAGTACTCCCAGGTTTTCCAGTGGTTCTCTAACTGACGTCAGCTCATGAAGAAATCCGCAAACCAACCAAACAAAAATCCCTACGAAACCAATATTTGAAAATCACACAGTGTTGTACAGTAATATTAACTGATGATCACGTTTCAAGAACAAATTATTGCCGCTCAGAATCATATCAAGTGAAGTCTATTGTCTGGCATCATTTTTACCAGGCTTCAAAACTGCCTACAAGCTTTTTTATTTCCTCTTTGCCAAACGATCTTTGCCAAAAGACAGGACTTCAGGTGAACATAGACAAAACAGAGGTGATGAGGATTCCTGGCCAAGACCACCAACAGCAACAACAACAACAGAAAACAATCAGCATAAATGGAAGGAACCTGAAAGAAACAACCTCCTTTACCTAGCTGGGAAGCATCGTTTCAACTACAGGCGGACGGAACTGACGAGGATATCAAAGCAAGAATCGGATAAGCAAGACAAGCTTTCACTACTCTCAAGTCTGTGTGGAGGTCAACAGCACTCCTCAGTATGAAAAATAAGATCCGGATTTTCAACTCCAATGTGAAGTCAGTACTACTATACGGATGGATCAGAGACTTGCACTGCGCGTCATAAAGAGCATCTCAAACAAAATACAAACCTTCATTAACAGTTGTCTTCGCTCAATACTTAAGATCAGATGGCTGGCTAGAAAAGATCAGCAACAGAGATCTCTGGCAGCGAGCCAACCAGGAACCGATTGTGAAACAAATAGGCAGGAAGAAATGGAGATGGATTGGCTGGCCATACTCTGAGGAAACCATCAAGTGACATCACTAGACAAGCCATCGCTCGAGTGGAACCCGAAAGGGAAGCGGCGAGTTGGTCGTCAGTGCGAGGGTGACTTGGGGGAAGTCATGTGAAGAGGAGATGAAAGCGTGTGGGTAGACTTGAAGCCAGGTGAAAATGTTGGGAGAGAGAGGAACGCAATGGAGACGCACGGCTGAAGCTCTATGTTCCTCTAGGAACTAAAGGAAACAATAATAATAATATAAATTTTCTTCTGTTTGTTTGTTTGTTTTTTATACTTGAACCTATGCCTAACTCGTTGATTCTAAGTCGAATTTCTTTCGACCTCATGGCGTGTAATGAGACTCAGTGGTTTCCTCACTATATATATATATATACATATATATATATTCATCTCTTTCTGCCTAATTGTTGAGCTACAAGTTCTTGATTGGTTCGTTACCTTACAGATTTTCTCATTGCTTATCTTTTCTGCCTTTCGATCTTCACTTTACAGTCGGTGAAGACAACCCGATGTAATTCTTCTCTTAGACACAATCTACTGACATTTTCGGCAGCTGATGTTATTTTACTTGAAGTAATTGGAGTGCGTATGTGTAAATATTTCGGAATTAAATGATTTTTTAAACATCGACTGTTAAAAATCCGATGATTTGTGAATCTTGCTTCAGTTTGATAAAGTCGTGTGAGTTTGTTGATAAGCTTCCTGGTAGGAAGACCATAAGTATCATTGATATAAGTTTTATTCTTATATCAGTGAAGACAACCGTTGGTGAATGTCTACCACGCAGGTCAAATCTCTGAAACATTTAGAAGCACTGACTGAATTGATGTTGAAAGCGTTGAAAGCGCGGATTTTATTTTATTTATCTGAATGTATTAGATTTCAAAATTATCTAAGTCTATTTTGTTTTCCTGATCTGATCTTGACTGGCTTTGATATCCTGCCCAGATGATAAATAAAAAGAGACGACTTCCACTAAATTATTTTTCACTGATAATGTTTGGTGTTCATCATTGTTGTTGGTTAAATATCTTCATCACCTCTGTCTCTTATACATGTTCATCTGTACACTTTCCTGTGTTCATTACCTCTTCTGTGAACTTGTTGGTTGTCGTCTGTAGATCTTTCAGTTCATGAAGGATTCAATATAAACCAGTCACAAATTTCACATCCTCTAGAATACACTTGTCGGTTCAAAGAACCGGCTGATCTTTTTTGTATCTACCAGTCTACCAGAACAAACAAAAAAGTCATCACTGTTAGGTAGTAGACAGTCTTGTCTACCTTGTCCCTATCTTCATTTCAAAGGCTTAACTGAGCTTTCCACTGTGAATCACTCGACATGTGGGTAACATCACCATACAGCCAGCTGTTGAATAAAGTTTGATACCTGGTGTTCAATTTTGATGTCGTATTCTTAAACCTGAAGAAAACGAAGCTATTGAAAAGAATATCGTGTGTGCACTAATCTGAGTCTTTGAAAGAAATAATTGTCATTAATAGCACTAATGTTGATCTATGCAACTGATTTCTTATGTTCAGGAACACCTACTAATATGGTTAAATATAAGTGTAGTAAAAAGCATTAACATAAATCAGATCCAAGTGTTGGTTTGCAGAGGTTTGATTGGCTACAGAATTTCATCTAGAGATGACATCGGTCCTAGTGCTTGGGAATCTTCAGCACCACGCACTAACCAGATGTTCCAACCCAGGAATTTCCGGTTACAAGGCAAGGTCGCAGACCATTCAGCTACTGGGACCCAATCCAGTAACCAGCTCATGAATTCCAACTTCTGTCAATTCACGATATAGCGTGACTGGCACTAGCCAGTGTCTTCGAAGGCGAGTATTTGTTTTCACACTTGACTTGGTGGACTTCCCCAAAAGTCACACTTTTCACTATAACCCTAGTAACTAACTCCCTGAATAGGCCCAGTTGCTAGTGAGTATAAGATTAACATTCAAGTGTTGAGCAGAAGTTGGAATTCATGGGCCAATCGATCGGGTTCCAATGGCTTAATTGTTTATGAGCTCGCCTTGTAACACGAGGGTCCTAGGTTCATACCCTGGTGGTGGGTGCGTACTGATGAAGAGTCCCGGAGTGGGACGAAAAAACAGTAAAGTACTCCCTACGGCTGGTTCCTAATTGTTCTCCAGCCGATATCAGCTCATAATGAAATCCTGTTATAAATCAAAATCCGAATTTGCTATGCTGCACAATTCAAGTGGCGAAATTTCACCTTATTTTCTCTTGAAACCAAACTATTCCAATCACAATGAGTGATCTGCTTGACACCATAAATGTTAATCAAGATAGCAATCAAATTTGTATAGAACTATATATACTACTGATTGACTGAAATGAGTAGTTGTATATCACCCACATCAACCAAGAGTGCTTGCTATCCAGATCGAGGTAATCTAAGCAATGTGTGACCATTTCTCTCCTTCATTGTCAAGCTCTTCAGCAGTCTGACCAAGTGGCTAACCAGAACAACAGGGTGTTTTGAACTGGTTCTGCTCTCTAAGCTGAACCAGACTGGGTACGCCGCTAATGCGCTTGGTGCCAGACTAGCGAAACTGCCATCCAGTGTTTAGATCACCTCGATCTGGCTCGCTAGCTAGTACTACTGGTTGTTCTGGTAGACTGGTAGATACAAAAAAGATCAGCTGGTTCTTTGAACCGACAAGTGTATTCTAGACGATATGAAATTTGTGGCTGGTTTATATTGAATCCTTCACGAACTAAAAGATCTACAGACGACAACCAACAAGTTCACAGAAGAGGTAGTGAAAACAGGAAAGTGTACAGATGAACATGTATAGGAGACAGAGGTGATGACGACATTTAACCAAAAGCAATGATGAACACCAATCACCATCAGTGGAAAATAATCTAGTGGAAGTCGTCTCTTTCAATTATCAATGGCGAGAATAGTGTAATGGTTGGTTTAAACAACATGTATAACATCAAAGCTCTCTCTATTATCTCACCTTTACAGATCATCACTTATAATGGTAATAACGTAACAACAGAAGGCAAGAGTCAGGCAACAGATCATTTATTAAGGAAATCAAAGCATATTTATATATTTGCATGTACATTATTATGGATATTTAAGTAAACAAACACAGTCTTCCGATTGGTTGTTTCTCACGTAAAGCTAATCTTTCATCTATTTGTGACTGTTTCTTGAATGTCAAATCCTCTATATGTTAACTGCATCCGCCTACGCAAAGTCTGCTGTGGTCGGTTTTGAATCAATCTTTGTTCACATTTTCTCACGACAAATCTTGGGTACGTA